ACACTCTCTTTCCCCTTTGTCTCTAGTGTCCATTACAATTTTCCGCTACAATTTTTAATGCTTTTATGTTCTCCAGTCTTTCAGTCTCTACCATAGAGTGCGAATAGTGGGACATACGATGTCTCTTTTTCATAGCCTGACTTGCTTCACCCAGCAACAAATCTTCCACATTCGTCCACTTTCTATCAAATTCCAGGACCTTACTCCTTAAGCCCAGGTCACCTACTCTTTTTTTTTTTTTTTTTTTTTTTTTTTAAAAATTTTTTTTTTCTTTTTCTCCTGTTTTTTATTATAAATTTTTTTTTTCCTCATCACAACACACATATGAATTTTCCATCCAAAATACACTGTGCATTGGCTCAATCAAGCACATCAACATATATGTTCTCAGCAAATGATTTCCCAATTTTTGTGTCCAGGTCACCTACTCTTGAGCAGAGGGTTGAGGCCTGGTGCTAGGTTGCCTGACTCCAGAGCCTTGGTGGCACGTCATTAAGTGGTCGCACCACACCGGAACTCGGAACTGGCTGGCTCTGGTCTCCCCCTCGATTTCCTGAGCAGCCTAGAAGGTTCGGGTTTGGACACAGAGGCTCCAGGAAGTCAGGGGCAATGCGAAGCCCTCAGCTCATTCAGAACCCTCCAGGAGATGACGTGGTAGAACCCAAGGAACCGGGTTCAAGACCCAGTTTGTACAGCAGGATCTCTCTGATCGTGGGTTTCCGCCTCTGTAGGACACGTCACGTACACCGCGGGTCGTGGACTTAGCCACGGGGCAAGCCTGGGATTAAGCATCCCCAACATTATCTCATGTACTACAATGGTCCTGTGAGTTAGGGGGCAGGCCCCCCATGTTCCAGATGAGGAAGCTGGTCTGGAGAGGTTAAGGAATTTAGCAGTAAACTGTAGCACCGTTGCCTTCTAATGGCTTCTCTGCCATCTAGCTAGTGCCAGCCTGCAGAAGTCATCCTACCCTGATCTCTTTCTAATACTGCAGATTTGTTTTGCTGCCCCACCCACCCCCAGCACCACCAGTGTAGACCCTGGTAGGAAGATGCTGGTTTGGGATTAATCCCTGCCTGTCCTTGGTTCTGTAAATGGTTGCTGCTTTTCCGTCTGTTCGTTCGATTTGAACCTGAAGCTTCAGTTTCATTTTCTGTGGACGCTGGTCCTTGTTGGGGATGCACGTCAGATTATCACTTGACTGCACCCCAGATCCCTGCCTAATATGGGCCTCTGATGTCCAGGCCATTTTCCTAACCTCTGAATTAGAGTACTGGGTACTCACTAGCGGCCGCGCCTCAGACAGCGGCCTAGATGCTCCTCAGCACCCAGAAGCCCCATTCCAGTCACCCCCCGAGTAACCACAGCCCTGGCCCCCCACCAAATCCGAGTCCCCTGTTTCTGAATGCCATGGAGCAACACGTAGTTGGGTGGGTGCAGTCCCTACCCTCAGTACCTGGCTCCTGTCCTAGCAGCGGTTTGTCCTGCGTTCTCATTGCCATGGTGTTTAGCTGCTGGGCATCCCCTGGTTACCCATTCGTGTGGGGCGACATTCAGAGCCTTTTCTGCTTTGGCCACTACAACTAGTGCTGCTGTGAGTGCTCTAGGGCACGTCCTCTGGGGCGTGTTTCCGTATGCGTGTCCTTTTGCTTTTTTCCGTAATGGAAGAGAGAAGTAAAGGCAGTCAGAGGTGGTGTTTTTGACAGGCTCTCACTACATGGCCATCCTTCTGGCCCAGCCTCCCAGTTAGCAAGGATTACAGGCACCTGCAGCTGTGCCCTGCATGTTCAGGTTGGCCCAGGAACTGATCTGGCCTCTGTGTGGCAGCCAGCCTCCCAAGCAGGGGCCTCTCTGAGCACCTGTGGCTGGACGGCTACTGCCCTTCTTCTGGATGTACGCCCCAGAGGGGAATTTCTTACCGCTGAGCATCCGTGTGCATACAGCTTTATTAAGTAGTGGTGGTGCTGGGGCTGGCAGGTGGCGTGGTGGTTAAGGGCCCTGGGCTCCCATGTAGCCAAGTGTGGTTCAAGTCCTGGACCTGGTGGCTTCCTTTCTTATTTTCTCTCTCTCTCACTCTGTCCCTCTCTGGTCAAATTAAAAAGCAAATAAATAGGGACCAGCAGTTGGTGTAATGGCTGTCACTGGACTCCCATGTAGTCGACCGTGGTTCGAGTCCCGGACCTGGTGGCTTAAGCTCACGCCGGGCACATGTGCGAGCATGCCCAAGATTCCAAGAGGAGAAGGGATTGTGGTGTGACCATTCCCCCTGGGGGTGATTTCTGATTTCTCACTTTCTGTCTGTCTCTCTCTGTCTTTCTGGCAAGTGCACGTGTGTGCCCTATAGCAAAAACCTCTCCAAAAATAAATAAATAAATAAAGTTAAATAAAATCATTCTTTTTTATTTTTTTGGAGAGTTTTTTTTTTTTTTTTTTTTTTGCAAAAGGGCGCTCTCCTCTCGGGATCTTGGGCACGCACGCATACACACCAGCGTGAGTTTAAGCCACCGGGTCCGGGACTTGAACCGTGGTCGACTACATGGGAGTTCAGCGACATAGCCATTATGCTAACTGCTGGTCCCATTAAATAAAATAATTCTTAAAAAAATAAAAGTAGTGGTAGTTCATCAGTGTCCCAGTTCCTACAATTTCTACCTTAACCAGCAGTGTGGGGGACACTTCCCCATGTTCTCCATTGTCACCAGACACTAAATATCACCTGTGTTGTTTTCAGCAAAGCCACCTGGTGAGAGGGAAACGGCATCTCATTCTGGTTTTACTGTGCGTTTCTCTGACACTGCTCATATGCTTCTTGTCTGTTTCAGGATCCTCCTTTATGAAATTTCTGTTCAAGCCTTTTACTCATTTCTTATTTGGTTGCTATGTCTTTTTTTTCCCCCTCCTACGGATTGGTAGAAATTGCGTATCTGGGAGGTATTCAAAAAGTTCATGGCAAATGCATAGTATGAAAAACTATGGTGGGTCTAGCAGACGGCATAATGGTATGTTGCTGAACTCCCGCCGTGGTTCGAGTCCTGCACCCAGTGGCTTAAAACTCATGCCAGGCATGTGTGTGCATCCCCAAAATCCCAAGAGGAGAATGGAAGAGAAGGGACTGCGACATTGCCATCCCCCCAGGGATGATTTCTCACTTTCTGTTTCTCTGTCTTTCTCTCTAGATAGTACATACTTATAACAAAAATCTTTCTCTAAAAAGAAGAAAAAAGAAAAGAAAAACTATATGGATTAAAAAAAAATTTTGTACCAAAATAAACTCATGCTTTAATTCCATTTCCCACAAACTTTTTCTTCAAGAATTATTCTAACATTATTATTATTATTATTATTATTATTATTAATTTGCTATAGGGCACATGTGCTCACCAGAGAGAGAGAGAGAAAGAGGGAAAGTGAAAAACAATCCACCAGGTCTGGGACTTGAACTACAGTTGGCCATGTGAAAAGTCAAGTACCTTAACCATCACACCACCTGTGACCCCTCCACAAATTTGTTGAAGTTCCTTCGTGTTACTGAAATGCCTTCTTGTCTGTGACTTGCCATGCATGTGTGCGTGGTTTTCTAGACCGGATCTCTCTGTGTCCAGTCCTCTTGCCCCAGCCTCCCAAATCACTGGGATTACAGGTGTGCATCACTGTCGCCAGCTTTTTAGGCTGGGCTGGGACCCAGACCTGGGCCCCCGTGTGGCCTCACTGGGCCAGGTAGCAGCATCATGGGCCATGTGCTCCTGCAACCGAGCCCTTCACAGTATCTTTCGTTTGTTTTAACCAGAAGCTGTGTGTACTTGCCAGAGAAAGAGAGAAAGTACTCCTCAGTGGAGTTGTGTCACACCATAATCCTTTTTCCTCCACTCGTACGTCAGGATTTTGGGCACGCGTGCACGTGGCGCCTGTCATGCTTTTCAAGCCATAAGGGGCTAGTGTTAAAATCGTGGCTGGCCACATGGGACCTGATTCCCCACGCACAGGGCTTACCTGTTGTACTGTGGAGCCTGCCCCCCTTTTCTCCATATATAATTGCTAGAGGGCACATACGCTCATCAGAGAGAGAGCGAGTCCCAGTGGGGCTTGGTTGGACAGCAGCCGTGATCCTGGACACACACACATATGTGCCTGGCATGTTTTTCAGCCAGCTGGGACTGAAGCGTGAACCCTAGTCAGCCAGGCAGGGTTCAACTCCCTATGCAGAATGCTTAACTGCTGCACTGCCGGGCCAGTGCTCAGGGTATCTTTTGAGGAGCAGTTTTTAATTTTGAGCATAACCACTATACCATCTCCTGTCCCCTGAATAAACATTTTTTAAAAGCTATACTCCAGGGGCCAGCAGACAGCATGGTGGTTAAGGTGGACTCCCACATGGTCAACTGCTATTTGAGTCTCGAACCTGGTAGCTTAAAAATCATTCTGTGTGTGTGTGCGTGCTCAAAATCCCAGGAGGAGATGGAGAAGAAGGGATTATGGCATGGCCATCCCCCACGGCAGTGATTTCTCACTTTCCCTGTTTCTGTCTCCCCAGCAAGCGCATGTATCCTATAGCAAAAAAAAAAAAAAAAGTTATACTCCTGTGTTTTCTTCTAGAAACTTCTCATATTTGTGTCTGTTATCCTTCTCAGATTGTTTTTGCATCTGCATAAACAGGAATTTCTTCACTTCAGTGCACAGTAGTTTATTATTTTCTACCTTATGGTTAGCACTTTTTTAAGTCCTCCTTAAGAAATCTTGGGGGGGGGACCAGCAGTTAGCGTAGTGGCTATGTCGCTGGACTCCCATGTAGTCGACTGTGGTTCGAGTCCCGGACCCGGTGGCTTAAAACTCACGCTAGATGTGTGTGCGTGCGTGCCCAAGATCCCTAGAGGAGAATGGAGGAGAAGGGATTGCAGCGTGGCCATCCCCCCTGGGGGGTGATTTCTCACTTTCTGTCTCTCTGTCTTTCTGGCGAGCACACACGCCCTATGGCAAAAACCTCTCCCCCCCAAAAAAAATAAATGAAATCTTGGGGGGGCAGTAATGGTCATGCTGCTGGACTCCCACATGGCCAACCGTGGTTCAAATCCTGGACCCAGTGACTTGAAACTCACTCTTTGCACATGTGCATGTGTACCCAGGATCCCAGGAGGAGAATGGAGAAGGGACTGCAATGTGACCATTCCCCCTGGGAGGTGATTTCTCACTTGTCCTCTCATTGTGTTTGTCTCTCTTTCTCTCTGGCGAGTGTACACATACTAAGGCAAAAACCTCAAAAAAAAAAAAAAAAGGAAGAGCAATCTTGGGCCAGGGCCAGCAGATGGCATGATAGTTAAGGGGTTGGGCTCCCACATGGCCAACCACTTTCCAAGTCCCAGACCTGGTAGCTTGCTTTCACACTTTCCTTCTCTCTCTGGTGACACTTGTCTTATAGCAAATTAAAAAGTGATAAAAAAATATAATAAATAAAGTTAAATAAATAATTCTTAAAAAAGAAAGAAAGAAAGAAAGAAAGAAAGAAACCTTGGACCAGTCCTGTGGCCTGGTGGTTAAGGGAGACGGATTCCACGTGGCTGACCACGCAGTTTGAATCCCAGCCTCAACTGCTTGAAAAACATGCTGAGCATGTGTGCATGTGGGTCCAAAATGCAAACTGGATAGAGAAATGGAGAGGGGACTACTGCGTGACCACACTTCACAGCAGGGTGCTTTTTCCCTCTCCCCTCTCTCTCAGGTGAGTGCACATGCCCTCAGGTAATTAAAAAAATTAAAATGTTTTCTTTATTCATGATAGCGTATGTGTGCACACATGAGAGTAAAGAGAGAGATGACCCTCCATCCCCTTCATCCGGTCCTCCAGCCTGTCAGCTCTTGGGCACTCGCATGCATGCCAAGCGTGTTTCAGGTGACCGGGTCAGGAATTCAAACTACTGTCACCACGTAGGACCCCACTCCTTATTTATTTAATTTTATTCATTAATTCATTTCTTTTTATTTGACCAGAGAGAGACACACACAGAGAGAGAGGGAAAGTGAGAAAGCAAACCACCAATTCGAGGACTCAAACTGGTCGGCCATGTGGTAGTGTCCAGCACCTTGACCACCATGCCACCTGCTGGTCCCTGCCCACCCTTTTATAGTTGAATAATGTTCCATGTCATGGAGGAGGCACATTTTGTTTACCCATTTACCAGCGGATGGACATTGGGGACGTTTCCGCTTCTTCGCTGTTGTGAATAGTCCTGCCGTGAACATTTGTGTGCAAGTTCCTATGTGGGCATCTGTTTTCATTTCTCTTGGAAAGAGCCATCTTCTTCTTCTTCTTCTTCTTCTTCTTCTTCTTCTTCTTCTTCTTCTTCTTCTTCTTCTTCTTCTTCTTCTTCTTCTTCTTCTTCTTCTTCTTCTTCTTCTTCTTCTTCTTCTTCTTCTTCTTCTTCTTCTTCTTCTTCTTCTTCTTCTTCTTCTTCTTCTTCTTCTTCTTCTTCTTCTTCTTCTTCTTCTTCTTCTTCTTCTTCTTCTTCTCCTTCTTCTTCTTCTGCTTCTTCTGCTTCTCCTTTTCCTTTTTAAATTTTGCCAGTGGGCACATGCATTTGCTGTGGAGAGATTGAGAGAGGAAAAGTGAGAAAGCATCCCCCATAGGACATGGTCACACCACAATCCCTTCTCTTCCATTTCTCCTCCTTTCCAGGTCTTGGGCAAACATGCACACACACCTGTCATGTTTGCTTTTTAGGCCACTAGGTCTGGGACTCAAACATGCAGTAGGCCATGTGCAATCCAGTCAACGACCACGCCACCAGCTGGCCCAGAGCCTTCGTTTTTAACTATGCACCATGAGATGCAGCAGGATGGAGTCTGTAAAGCCCTTGCGCACACCAGTCTGTGACAACTTATACGGTTAGAAAGGACCACACAGCACGGGATGGCCAGTGTGCTGTTAAGATTGTGAGAAGCAGGGGCCAGAGGGTGGCATGGCAGTAACACGGCATTCTGCAAGGCCGACCCACATGGGGAGGGTCTAGGTTCACATCCAGAGACCTCCCTGACATGCTGGATATGTGTGCACACGTGGGCTGGCTGAAGCCGGGGGTGGACTTCATGAGGACCTTGCTAGGAGTGTGGGTTTCTCTGTCTCTCTTGCTTGTGAAAGGAAGAATAAAAAGAAACATTTAAAAAAATAGTTTGTGTGCCAGCCTGTGGCATGGTGGTTAAGATGGCTGGATCCCACATGGCTGACTGTGCAGTTTGAGTCCTGGGCCCAGCAGCTTGAGAAACATGCTGGGAGAGTGTGTGTGTGTGTGTGTGTGTGTGTGTGTACACTAAGTCCCAAAGGGTGAGAAATGGAAAAAAAAGGGATTGCAGCATGACTATACCTGATGGGAGTTGCTTTTTCACTTTCTTTCTTTCTCTGTCTCTCTCTCCAGTGAGTATCCATGCCTTTTGGTCAATTAAAAACAAAACAAAGCTTGTAAGAAGCAGATGGTGAAAGCCCCTGTCCCCCCACCCAGTCAATGGGTCCCCAACACACACACATCTTTCCACAGGCATCGAAAGGCAAAGACATGCTTGGACAAGGCCCTGTGTTCTGTGCAGGTCGCGTCATGCATAGAGAGCGGCCCTCAGAGAGGGGTCAGGAGCCCTGCCAGGCCCTGCTGAGCGACGTCTGTGGCCCAGTGAGTAGGCAGAGGGCCGCTGACCGTTCTGGCTCTCATGTGCGGGTCGCGTGGCTTCTTTCCTGTTCCCCAGCTGTGGCTCTACCAATGACCCTGTGAGTATCGGGAATCTCTGGTGGCCCTAGGGGCCTTGTCCCGGAGTGGCCTTCCTGCCGGCCCTCAGCATGGCATCCGACACTCCTGAGTCCCTGATGGCCCTCTGCACCGACTCCTGCCTGCGCAACCTGGATGGCACCCTGGGCTACCTGCTAGACAAGGAGACCCTGCGGCTGCATCCCGACGTCTTCCTGCCCAGCGAGATCTGTGACCGGCTCGTCAATGAGTGAGCAAGCCCTGGGGCTGGGGCAGGAGCAGGGGTCTTAGCACGAGCATGTGACCATGCGTGTGTGCACCGTGGGGTGGCTGTGTATGCAAACGGGGGGATGCATGCACAAAGATGTCTGTGGGTGCAAGAGAAGAGTGGAATAGTCGTAACCTTAAAAGAATACATGTGAGGGGCCGGCAGGTGGTTACGGTGCCGGCCTCCCACATGGCCAACCACGATTTGTGCGCTGACCCTGGTGGCTTGAAAATCACACCAGACATGTGTGCATGTGTGCTCAAAATGTGGCGTGGCCAACCCCCTGGAGGATGATTTCTCACTTTCCCTCTCACTTTCTTGCTCTGTCTCTCTCCCAGCACACGCGCCCTATGGCAAAAACCTTTAACAAATATATAATAATAATAATACATGTGTGTGTGTTGGTATGTGTGTAGAGTGTGTGCATGTAAGAGGATGGGTGTGCACACACATGCAGGGTGTGTGTGAGGGTGGGATTGCATGTGTACGATTAGGGATGAGATGGCTTAGAAACCTGCATACAAACAAAGGCGTTATGTGCCATCCTCCTCTGCGTGCGCGTGCATGCGCGTGTGTGTACACTCATGCACATGCCTGTGCTGGTGAGCTAAATGAGCATGAACACATATGGGTTTACATACCAGTGCTGGAATCAATGGACCCATGGCCAGGGATCAAATCTTCCAGAAAGTCCCCACATGTCCCTTCTTAGGGACTGCCCCTGTTCAGGGCTCACAGAAATACGATATGGGGTCACTGAATGCCGCGAGCTTGGGGCGGACACCCAGAAGGGAGGTTGTTAAACCAAACGGTTGCACAAGAAAACGGAGCCCTGTGCAGCTCCTGAGCACGGAGCTGGACGGCGCTCTCTGTTCTGAGTGTTGAGACAGGCGCTTTGCTGCAACCAGCCCATTGCACAGATGGAGATGCTGAGGCCTGGGAGGCTCAGTTGCTGTGTGCAGTTGCCGGGCGCCAGGCCAGGATGTCGATTCCCGAGTGTCTGACTCTAAACCTTTCCACCAACCCAGGATTCTCATATGAGCTAGTATGTCATCAGAGTGCTGTTAACTGCTGTCTCTGCACCCTGTTGGGAACCCCAAACCACTTGGCGTAATTTGCCTGTTTGAAAGGGTTCTGGGGAGGCTAAAGGAACCAGAAGCCAGCTGAAAGGAGATGACGAATGTGGCATGGTGATGGGGCTGCCACCACTGCTAGGGAGTGACAGGAGTGTACTAGGAGAGGAGGCGTAAGTGTCTGTGTGTGCTGTGGGGGTGTCTAGGGGTTGGGGGACGAGCTCTTACCTGCTGTTGATAAGAGGCCCCCTGCATTACCAGGAGGTCACCCAGAGAGCTGCCTTTAGGTTCCTGGTTCCCGTGGTGTAGTCAGGATCCAACCAGGCCCTATTAGGGAGCAGAAGACAAGGAGATTGCTGCTAAGGTGACCCCAAAGGGCTTCTATGGCAGTAACACGGCATTCTGCAAGGCCGACCCACATGGGGAGGGTCTAGGTTCACATCCAGAGACCTCCCTGACATGCTGGATATGTGTGCACACGTGGGCTGGCTGAAGCCGGGGGTGGACTTCATGAGGACCTTGCTAGGAGTGTGGGTCTCTCTGTCTCTCTTGCTTGTGAAAGGAAGAATAAAAAGAAACATTTAAAAAAATAGTTTGTGTGCCAGCCTGTGGCATGGTGGTTAAGATGGCTGGATCCCACATGGCTGACTGTGCAGTTTGAGTCCTGGGCCCAGCAGCTTGAGAAACATGCTGGGAGAGTGTGTGTGTGTGTGTGTGTGTGTGTGTGTGTGTACACTAAGTCCCAAAGGGTGAGAAATGGAAAAAAAAGGGATTGCAGCATGACTATACCTGATGGGAGTTGCTTTTTCACTTTCTTTCTTTCTCTGTCTCTCTCTCCAGTGAGTATCCATGCCTTTTGGTCAATTAAAAACAAAACAAAGCTTGTAAGAAGCAGATGGTGAAAGCCCCTGTCCCCCCACCCAGTCAGTGGGTCCCCAACACACACACATCTTTCCACAGGCATCGAAAGGCAAAGACATGCTTGGACAAGGCCCTGTGTTCTGTGCAGGTCGCGTCATGCATAGAGAGCGGCCCTCAGAGAGGGGTCAGGAGCCCTGCCAGGCCCTGCTGAGCGACGTCTGTGGCCCAGTGAGTAGGCAGAGGGCCGCTGACCGTTCTGGCTCTCATGTGCGGGTCGCGTGGCTTCTTTCCTGTTCCCCAGCTGTGGCTCTACCAATGACCCTGTGAGTATCGGGAATCTCTGGTGGCCCTAGGGGCCTTGTCCCGGAGTGGCCTTCCTGCCGGCCCTCAGCATGGCATCCGACACTCCTGAGTCCCTGATGGCCCTCTGCACCGACTTCTGCCTGCGCAACCTGGATGGCACCCTGGGCTACCTGCTAGACAAGGAGACCCTGCGGCTGCATCCCGACGTCTTCCTGCCCAGCGAGATCTGTGACCGGCTCGTCAATGAGTGAGCAAGCCCTGGGGCTGGGGCAGGAGCAGGGGTCTTAGCACGAGCATGTGACCATGCGTGTGTGCACCGTGGGGTGGCTGTGTATGCAAACGGGGGGATGCATGCACAAAGATGTCTGTGGGTGCAAGAGAAGAGTGGAATAGTCGTAACCTTAAAAGAATACATGTGAGGGGCCGGCAGGTGGTTACGGTGCCGGACTCCCACATGGCCAACCACGATTTGTGCGCTGACCCTGGTGGCTTGAAAATCACACCAGACATGTGTGCATGTGTGCTCAAAATGTGGCGTGGCCAACCCCCTGGAGGATGATTTCTCACTTTCCCTCTCACTTTCTTGCTCTGTCTCTCTCCCAGCACACGCGCCCTATGGCAAAAACCTTTAACAAATATATAATAATAATAATACATGTGTGTGTGTTGGTATGTGTGTAGAGTGTGTGCATGTAAGAGGATGGGTGTGCACACACATGCAGGGTGTGTGTGAGGGTGGGATTGCATGTGTACGATTAGGGATGAGATGGCTTAGAAACCTGCATACAAACAAAGGCGTTATGTGCCATCCTCCTCTGCGTGCGCGTGCATGCGCGTGTGTGTACACTCATGCACATGCCTGTGCTGGTGAGCTAAATGAGCATGAACACATATGGGTTTACATACCAGTGCTGGAATCAATGGACCCATGGCCAGGGATCAAATCTTCCAGAAAGTCCCCACATGTCCCTTCTTAGGGACTGCCCCTGTTCAGGGCTCACAGAAATACGATATGGGGTCACTGAATGCCGCGAGCTTGGGGCGGACACCCAGAAGGGAGGTTGTTAAACCAAACGGTTGCACAAGAAAACGGAGCCCTGTGCAGCTCCTGAGCACGGAGCTGGACGGCGCTCTCTGTTCTGAGTGTTGAGACAGGCGCTTTGCTGCAACCAGCCCATTGCACAGATGGAGATGCTGAGGCCTGGGAGGCTCAGTTGCTGTGTGCAGTTGCCGGGCGCCAGGCCAGGATGTCGATTCCCGAGTGTCTGACTCTAAACCTTTCCACCAACCCAGGATTCTCATATGAGCTAGTATGTCATCAGAGTGCTGTTAACTGCTGTCTCTGCACCCTGTTGGGAACCCCAAACCACTTGGCGTAATTTGCCTGTTTGAAAGGGTTCTGGGGAGGCTAAAGGAACCAGAAGCCAGCTGAAAGGAGATGACGAATGTGGCATGGTGATGGGGCTGCCACCACTGCTAGGGAGTGACAGGAGTGTACTAGGAGAGGAGGCGTAAGTGTCTGTGTGTGCTGTGGGGGTGTCTAGGGGTTGGGGGACGAGCTCTTACCTGCTGTTGATAAGAGGCCCCCTGCATTACCAGGAGGTCACCCAGAGAGCTGCCTTTAGGTTCCTGGTTCCCGTGGTGTAGTCAGGATCCAACCAGGCCCTATTAGGGAGCAGAAGACAAGGAGATTGCTGCTAAGGTGACCCCAAAGGGCTTCTGGGGAGGGAAGGCTTGTGCTTGAAGGGAAGGCAGGTCCCCATATTCCTCCGTTGAGCCAGGTTTGCTCCCTGCCAGGTATGTGGAGCTGGTCAACGCTGCCTGCAACTTTGAGCCACACGAGAGCTTCTTCAGCCTTATCTCGGACCCCCGCAGCACCCGCCTCACTCGTATCCACCTCCGTGAGGACCTGGTGCAGGACCAGGACCTGGAAGCTATTCGCAAGCAGGTGAGACCTGCCTCACCAGTTCTCCAGGGACGACTGAGGGGGGAGGGCCCAAGGGGGCCAAGCAGTGAGCTGGGCAGGGCAGCTTGCCCTAGCATCCTGGTCCCAAGACCCCTCCAGTGCTCTCCCCATGCTGGCAGCCCCACCTGACAGCCCTGGGCAGGGGTGATAAAAGAGCCGGGCCTGCTTCTAGGACCTGGTGGAGCTGTACCTGACCAACTGCGAGAAGCTGTCCGCCAAGAGCCTGCAGACACTGCGGAGCTTCAGCCACACCCTGGTGTCCTTGAGCCTCTTCGGCTGCGCAAACATTTTCTACGAGGAGGAGAACCCGGGGGGTTGTGAAGACGAGTGCCTCGTCAACCCTACCTGCCAGGTGCTGGTGAAGGACTTCACCTTCGAGGGCTTCAGCCGCCTGCGTTTCCTCAACTTGGGTCGCATGATCGACGGGGTCCCTGTAGAGTCCCTGCTGCGGCCCCTCAGCTCGCTGGCTGCCTTGGACCTCTCAGGCATTCAGACCAGTGATGCCGCCTTCCTGACCCAGTGGAAGGACAGCCTGGTGTCCCTTGTGCTCTACAACATGGACCTGTCGGACGACCACATCCGTGTCATTGTCCAGCTGCACAAGCTGCGGTGAGCAGCGGGCCCCAGGCTCACTGGGGTGGGGGTGGGAGTGGGAGTGGGCAGGGTGGACAGGCAGGAGGGAAGGGATGTCCCCAAGGGCTCAGGAGGGGATAAAAGCAACAATCCCGCCCCTTAAACCAGTGTTTTACCTGGGTTAGTGCTGTCTAGGACACTTGGGTTCCAGCAGGGTTTTTTCCCAGAATGCTCTGGGGCAGTTATGATAGGCATGGGACCTCCGTACTGTAAACTGAAGGAGCAGGGGCTATGACCTGTGGCCTCCCAACCCCAGACACTTGGACATCTCCCGAGACCGCCTCTCCAGCTACTACAAGTTCAAGCTGACCCGGAAGGTGCTGAGCCTCTTTGTGCAGAAGCTGGGGAACCTCATGTCCTTGGACATCTCTGGCCACATGATCCTGGAGAACTGCAGCATCTCCAAGATGGACGAGGAAGCGGGCCAGACCAGGTGGGGACCCACCTCCACAGATGCTGAGCAGCCCATTCAACAAGCACCCCAGGTGCCTCCTGCCAGGTGCTGTGCTGGCTGCCGGGGGTAGAGGAGTCAAGCCCTGCCCTCTCGGAGCCTCTGGGCTAACGGGCACAGATACCTCGTTCCCAAGGCTGTGGTAGGGGAAGTACAGGGCTGTGGCCTTGCCCTGGGGGTCAGGAAGGAGGAAGGATGGCATTCAGGCCGTCCTGAAAGCTCGCTCTGGGTTTGCCCAAGGAAGGGTGTTCTAGCAGTGGGAACAGTGCATGCAAAGGCTGGGAGGCGAGAACATGAGGAGTGACCGGAAGTCGCCAGACACACAGACTGACCAGAGCACCACGCAGGTGAAAGAACGAGGCCCGCAGTGTCTGCCACACAGTAGCTGCTGCCATAGGTCCATTGGTTCCGGTGTTGGTCGGTTGAGCGCTCTGATTCAAACCCAGCCAGCTATGGTTGGCTACCAGCCCCGCCCCCAGCCACGGTTCCGGTGTTGGTTGACAAGCTTATCCCTTCATGATTGCTGACAAAGCCTAAAGTGACCCATCCCCACTAGAACAGCAGAGGGGATTTTCCAAAGACAGCTGCACGTGTGCGCCTGCCCGTCTCGTGTGTCCTTCTACAGTGAGACCTCGCCACCCTTCCACCAAGAGGTGGGGCCTGCGTCTTTTCCCCTTAAAAAGAAAAAACTAACAGGACGGGGCTGAAGGCCAGGGAGAGAGCACGAAGTACATGCTGAGGCAGCCCCATGGGAGGCCCAGGTCAGGCCCCGCCCCACGCCGCTGACCTGGCATCCTCTTCACCAGCATCGAGCCTTCCAAGAGCAGCATCATGCCCTTCCGGGCTCTGAAGAGGCCGCTGCAGTTCCTTGGGCTCTTCGAGACCTCCCTGTGCCGCCTCACGCACATTCCGGCTTACAAGGTGAGGCAGAAACGGAGGCGGGAGGCTAGAGGGGCAGGGCTGGAGCACCAAGGGGTCTGCGCCAGGGTTGAAGCCTGAACTGGGGTCTGGCCCTCCTGCGTGGTCTCCAGGTAAGTGGTGACAAAAACGAGGAGCAGGTGCTGAACGCCATTGAGGCCTACACAGAGCACCGGCCCGAGGTCACGTCGCGAGCCATCAACCTGCTCTTCGACATCGCACGCATCGAGCGCTGCAGCCAGCTCTTGCGGGCGCTGGAGGTAGGTCAGCCCCAGGCCCAGGCTCCTGGCAGCACATAAGCCCCCGGGCCCTTGGCTCCCAGCCACACATCTGTTCCCTGGGCCTAGGCTCCCCCTGCACATCTGCCCCCTGGGCCCTCGGCTCCTGGCTGCACAGGGGCATAGCCAGTCGTGTCCCCAGAGCCCCTGTCCCTTCCCCTCACTTCCTCCTGTGCACAAGACCCTGACCTGCTTCAGCACTGGCTAAGGCAGGCTCAGGCCTTGAGCCCCACCAGGGCTTCTTCAGCCTCTTCTCAGACCCTGCTGGGTCCTAGTTTCTGCTCCCCTGACCCCACCTGTGCCCTTGGAGAGCAGAATCAGGGAAGCCCTGCCCAGAGCACCTGCCCAAGACCCTGACCCCTCCCAGGCCTGTCCCTGCACAGTCTTCACGGCGCGTGCCAGCAGGACCCCATGCTGTCTTACAGCTAGTCATCACAGCTCTCAAGTGCCACAAGTATGACAAGAACATCCAAGTGACAGGCAGCGCCGCCCTCTTCTACCTGACCAACTCTGAGTACCGCTCCGAGCAGAGTGTCAAGCTGCGCCGGCAGGTCATCCAGGTGGTGCTGAATGGCATGGAATCCTACCAGGAGGTGACGGTGAGCCCCCTGCCCGCGTGCCTGCACGCTCCGGCCCAGCCCCTTTTCCTGCCCCTTCCCCAGTTCTCCAGCCGCACAGCTCTCTCAGGGGCTCTCCTGACTTGGGGCTGCCCCATCACAGCCCCCCTTTCGCCCGCACTGGCTGCGCTCCCAGACCCTAGGGCCTGGCACTTGGGCCCTGGAGCCCAGCCTCACCCACAGGCCGGCACTCACAGCCGCCCTCTCCCTCTTCCCTCTGCTCCAGAAGGCCAGGGACCCTGCGCTGTCTCCTAGCCCTTCTGCTCCAAGAACTCTGCCAGGGGTATAATTTCTCTAATAGCTGCTTTAATTATGAAAGTGACAAAGTATTTTCCCATGGAAAAATGATAATTACAGATATATATAAAAAATCACTCACAATCCCACCATCCATAGTCACCATTAGTACCTCCTGTTCTGAATTTCAGCCTGTGCACATGCACTTAGGGAGATCTTTACACAGACTGTGCACACTTCAGTAGCATCTCATGAGTGTAAACGTCTCCCATGTCGCCTTGGTTTTTGTTTTTACAATGAGAGAGAAAAAAGGAGACAGGCACCCCAACAGGGTCTTCATGCCTCTGAGTCGCAGTGGCCCAGGTCATGGCCACGCACACGTACGCCCAGTCAGGGAGCTCTCGGGACCTGCCTCACTGCGGTGCCACTTTCTGGCCCCAGCTTTCTTTTCACTCATGCATTTTTTGGGGGACCAGCAGGTGGTGCGGTGGTTAAGGTGCTGGACACCCACGTGGCCACCTACAATTTGAGTCCCAGACTTGGCAGCTTGCTTTCTCACTTTCTCACTTTCTTTCTCTCTCTCTGGTGAGCCTATGTGCCCTATAGCAAATTTTAAAAAAACAATAACAGGGCCGGCAAGTGGCATGGTGGTAAAAGGCACTGGACTCCCACATGGCTGACCACGGTTCAAGTCTCGAACCTGGTGGCTTGCCTTCTCACTTCCTCTCTCTCTCTCTCTCTGTGTCTCTCTGATCAAACTGGAAAATAATAATGATAATAATAATAAATAAACTTAAATAAAATAATTCTTAAAAAAAAACAATAACAATAATGAATAAAATTAAACAAATCTTTAAAAAATAATACTGGATCCAGCAGGTGGCGTGGTGGTTAAGGTACTGGACTCCCACATGGCTGACCACAGTACAAGTCCTAGACATGGCGGCTTTCTTTCTCATTTTCCCTCTCTCTCTCTCTCTCTGGCCAAATTAAGTAATAATAATAAATAAAATAAATAATTATTTTAAATAGTAATGATTTTTTTTTCTAATTATAAAAGTAAAATACCTAAGGACCAGCAGATGGTGTGGAGGTTAAGGAAGCTGGGTCCCACATGATTAACTGTGTAGTTCAAATTGTGGACTGTGGTAGCTTGAAAATTATACTGGGTGCATGTGCATGCGTACCCAAAATCCTGAGAGGAAAAGGGAAGAGAAGGGACTGTAGCGTGGCCATCCCCTGGGGGATAATTTCTCATTTTCCCTCTGTTTCTCCTCCTTTCTGTCTGTCTTTCTCTGGCGAGCACACATGTCCTATAACAAACTAAAAAATAAAAAGCTAATGCTTAAAAAAAAGTTCAAGGAGTAAAGGATGGGCCAGCAGGTAGCGGGGTGGCTGATGTACTGGACTCCGCCATGGCTGACTGCAGCTCCAGTGCAGACCTCGCAGCTTTGCTTTCTTAGTCTCTCTCTCTCT